CAGACACCTGTTAGACTGACCTGATTTTATATTCCTATTAAATATAACGGATCAATGTTAACATTCTTCAGACACCTGTTAGACTGACCTGATTTTATAGTACTATTAAATTTGACAGATCAATATTAACATACTTGAGATACCAGTTATATTAACATGATGTTATAGAAATAATAGATTAACCTGTAATATCAGTATTATATCTCCCAACATAATAAATCCATTTCTTGCTTATGGAAATGAAAAAAAAAAATTATTACATTTTGGAGGAGTCTTAGGGTTTTTGTCTTTTTTCTCTCTCTCTCTCCTTACTATAAAACAGCCAGATTCCTTGGAAAACTTCTTAATCCCTTAACTGCTAATTCATCAGCCAGAATCAAGAATGCAGAAATATTTGTAGAAATCCCTAAAACCTTCTGATGTTTTGGTCAGTTTTGATGTCACTAATATATTCCACAACATTCCTGTCAACCTTGTCCTTCAAGAGATTAACAACAGACAGGTCACTACATCTTCACCCAAATCTCAATGTAGACAGCCTAAACATTCTAAGGATATACTAGTGGCCTTCCTATGGAATCATCTCTATCACCCATTCTCAGTAATATTTTCATGGAAGATTTTGAAGCCAGTGCCCAACAAATAACTTGAAACCTAAGAGTTAGGAATGCTATGTTGTTAACACATTTGTTATTTGGTCTCATGAATTATCATTGTTTGAAGATTTTCTCCATCATTTAAATTATATAAACCCCAGTATGCAATTTACCATGCAGTTATGATAATAAGACCCTTCCATTTCTTCACATACATATTCATTGAAATGATGACAATCTCATCACTTCTGTTTATAAGAAACCCCATCCACACTAAAAGACTCTTACACTATAAGATAACTACTCAAAGGCTGTTGAATGTGTCATGTTTCACAGATCCAGAAATATTTGTGATGAAGACTATGGGGAAAAAGAATTAATGTTCCTAAATAAGTTTTTAAAACAACAGATACTCTTCCAGTTTTACACCAAGAAGCTATCTTCCAACACTCACAACAAGACCAAGTCCAACACAAATTGATCATTTCTCTACCCTACATTTCCAAGTTAAGCAAAAAAAACTAAAAGATTTTGCAGGAAATTTAATGTTGAAGTTCATTGAGGAAAATATTTAGAAACATCCTTACTAAAGTTAAACAACCAAACAACAAGTCTAAACAAAAAGAACTCACCTTTGAAGTACCATGTTCACAGAACAACATTTACATTGGAGAAACTAGTCAAACAATAGAACGAAGATTAAAACAACATAAATATGCGTCTAGACTAACACATTTAAATAAATCGACCTTAGCTGAACATAACTACAAAACAGGACATATCATAAAGTGGGATCAACATAGAATTTTAGACGAAACTCTCAACTGGAAGGGAAAAAGTAAATGAAGCTACTTACATAAAGCTCCATCAACCTGAACTCAACAGAGACAATGGTTTGCACAACAGCAACCTGTGGACAACCACCCTCAACAAACTCTACATATAATATGGATGATGTTACAGTCCTATTCACAACACCCACCAATCACCACACCTGCTCAACACACAAGACTTGAGCTTTATCACATGGCCGTGCTTACCTTTATAAGACGCTACATAAGTATCTCCAGTGACATCGAGAAGGCCTCGGTATAGAAGTCAAAACGTCATTTCCTTTCTATTTCAACAGACAGTTGCAGTCCATTAAAATTCTCAAACCTACAGATATAGTTAATGTAAAATAATCTAGTGGACCAGAAAGCTAAAATGATATTGATAAACTGAAGACTGTCCAGGGGGGAAGAAATTAGTGATTCATTTGTACCAGAATAAGAAGAAGAACCACTGTGGAGACAGCATTGAACAGATTGTCAAGTTACTAGTGATACAGTTTGGAGTTCACAATTTCCTTAATAAAGTTTTCTAAACAAAATTGTCTTTCAGGTATTGAAAAGCTCTTTGTTGTTATTTGCATAAATATGTAGCCAGTTCAATAATGTTGTTTTTAGGCTAGGCCAGGTAGTATAAATAAGATGGACATGGACATTGTATACAGAGAATTAAAAGCTTATGGGTTGGTCAATGAATGAAATGTGATACTTACATTTTACCTGCAATATAGTTAGCAGTTGTGAAGAGATTGAAAAAGGATGTTTCCATGGTAGGATTGAAAATGAAAGTCAAAATGAAAAAGAATCATAAAGTCTGGCTATGCACTACATAACTTTGTATGTTACAGTTCAAGAATATCATTTTCATTACACTCAATCTACCACATACATAGTAACATGCTATAGAATTAACATTTTAGTATGCAAATGGGTCAGTGAAAGTGTTGTATTTTGTATTTCAGGTGGTTATAAATATCATCATAGCTTTCATTCTTGAGGCCTTCTTGTTTAGAATTCAGTATAAACGAAAGATGGGGGATATGGACAGTAAGTATACACTTGTGTTTGTTTACCTATACTCCATTAGTCTTAACAGACACAAGTAATATCTGAAAATAATTACTATTTTGTTAAGTGACTGGACAAATACCATGTGTAATATGATAATATTTAGAAAATCAGCAGAGTATATAATGTCTATTTTGATTAAAAGGGTCAAGTATTGAATGTAAGATAGAAAAAAAAATGTGTTAGGATATATTATGGACTTTATTAAAGAAAAATTCTATAAAATTAAAGTTGCTGAATTTTGGGTCAACTTAAACTGGTGGAAAATTCAAGATATTTTAATAAACTTATAGTTTTATGAGACACATAACAGTCAGCTTGGGATTGCACAAGTTGTATTGGAAATTTTTCTATCAGGGGAATGTCAAGAAGGCTAGATGCATATGTGACAACTTTACAAAGAAAAAAAATCCCAGAAGTCTAAAGCACAAGTGATAGTTTTGATTTCAGATTTGTTATGGGCTGGGTGTGGCTCTTTGTTTTTAGTACATTAGACAGTGAATCTGGGGTTTCATTGTTTCTGTCTTATTGCAGCAAAATCATGCTCTGTACTTTGGGGTTATATGTGCCTTGTAAGAGTGATGGTTAAATTCTATTATAGGATTAGTGACCCAAGAATATCTGGTTGCGACCACTGACTACATATTTTCCCTCTCGTGTATCAGCTCAAAATTAACAATGGCTAATGCAGATAGCTTTTGTGTAGTATATTGTAAATATCCAAACCAAACATATTTTTTTATCCTTGGAGTTTGGAGCTAATTATATATATAGCTGTTATTCATGTAATTAGAAAGCACTTTCAATGTGCATTTTTAATGTTGACCTTCTCTGATGCTTAGTGTTTATCAGTCATTCTTGACTTGAGTTAAATTATTTCTTATTAGATGTTTGCATTTTGGATTATAGGTTATTGATATATTTTATCCTGCTTATATGTCCGAGAATACTGCTTTATTGGAATAGAAAGTAAACATTTTGCAGAACATAATAACTTCAAGGGCAGGTTTGTAGTTCATAACAACCTGGTAAAGTTTACAGTCAATACTTCTACAAGTGTATGTTTGTCATTATTATGTTTTTGGTTTTCTTATGGTGATGTGTCAAAAGATCACATTGAATGTATTTAAACCCTGAAACTGATAGATATTAACATATTCCCCTTTTCCAGAGGACAGCTTGGTTCGAGTAGATGTGGCATTGACTCGTCAAGAACTAGACTTCTGTTACACTCATTCTAATCTTTCAATCTCACAACTTCTTCACTATACACACAACCTTACAGAACAATATATACTCTACAGAGGAACTCGTACTCGCACCAAGTTCTCATTTAGCCTCAAAATGTATGCTGAAGAAGTGAAGGTAGGTTTATGTGTTAGTGGTTTTTATATAAGTATGAGGATAATTTTCTCCATCCTCCTTGTAAAATAGGATGAAAATGTGTTTCTTCAAAGATGTGTCTGAATTTTGAATATTCTAGCTTGTGTATGTTTCTGGCTTACACTTATTACTTTGTATCAGCTGATGGAGTGATACTAATAAGTATTGAAGTAGAAATCTGTTGAACTTGGTATAATTTATAGAGCATTATTAGATTGCACTTAGATGATGAGTGGTGCTAGACATCTGCTGAACTTGGTATAATTTATAGGGCATTATTAGACTGTATTTAGACGATGAGTGGTGCTAGACATCTGCTGAACTTGGTATAATTTATAGGGTATTATTAGATTGTACTTAGATGATGAGTGGTGCTAGACATCTGCTGAACTTGGTATAATTTATAGAGCATTATTAGATTGCACTTAGATGATGAGTGGTGCTAGACATCTGCTGAACTTGGTATAATTTATAGGGCATTATTAGACTGTATTTAGACGATGAGTGGTGCTAGACATCTGCTGAACTTGGTATAATTTCTAGGAAATCGTTAGATTGTACCTAGATGATGAGTGGTGCTAGACATCTGCTGAACTTGGTATAATTTCTAGGAAATCGTTAGATTGTACCTAGATGATGAGCAATGATAGACATTTGTTGAACTTTTTATAATTTCCAGGGAATCATTATATTGTACTTAGATGATGAGAAATGCTAGACATTTGTGGAACGTTTTATAATTTCTAAAGAATCATAAGGTTGAACAATGATAAAGATTTGTTGAACTTGAGACATTTTTCAAGGTATCATTAGTTTATATTTGTCACCATGCATCTGGAAATGAACAACCAGCTTACATAGCAATAACATTTTCTATATTTAGTGTTGGCTCCAACAAGCTGAAGAAAAAGAAAGACAGCAGAGAGAAGAGTTACTTGCTAAGGTACAGGAACTGTCTATTTCACAACAACCCACAATTCAACAAGAACGAACACGGCGAACTTTTAGTGTGTAGACATTAATCCTATTAATGAGAAGACAAAAATTAAAACCAGTCTTCCTGTATAATTATCCTCAGATACTCAACACAGTTATTATCAAAAGTGGTGCGTTTACCAATCAACATAGCACTTGCACTAAAGTATTTTTTATTAGTCACAACAAAGTGGGAGTTTAGAAGTCTTTACATACATATATTCAGATCATTGGACATTTTTTAAAAGATCTTGTTTGAAATTAACTTTGTTACAGGGTTGGCCTTTTTGGAAATTTTACTTGATAATTGCAAGACGTCTATTATTGAAAGTCTCATGTGAAAAGTTTTGGAAAAGTTCTTCTAAAAAATTATCTAAAGTCACAAGAATGTCAGGAATTTAATCTGCAGGTTATAGATAATTTTAATTCCTTGCTTACCAACTTTAATCTGCAGGTTTCATATAATTTTAAGTCCTTCCTTACAAATCTTAACTCTTTCAGCCCTGGCTTGTTATAGTTTTCATGCTATAACTTTTAAATCAGAAAGCGAATGTTAACGAAATTTAGCAGATAATCAGTAAACGTTACAATGCTTTCATATGCAAAATATTTAATTTTTTTTATTAAGTCCTAAAGTTTATAAAGCAATGTTTTTCTCCTTTTTTTCCCCACATCTTGCCTATCTATCATGCAAAGTAATTTTCAATTTCAGATTTTATGTACCAGAAAATGTTGAAACTTCACATTCAAAATCTTTATAATGTCCAGGTAGTTATCAAACATTTCTTAAGAAAAAGCTTTATATTTTATCTATTATTTTCTGTAATTAATCTCTGTATGGGTTAGGTAGATTTGACCAATCTCACAACCACCATAAAAAAATTAGGACATAAATATAAATTATGCCTCTTTCATTCTAGAATGAACATAAATTATAACATGAAAACATAAATGTTTAGACAAAATAGATTAAATTTCATAACATTATACATTTATACATATTTATTATTTTTGTATATTGACCTTTCACCCGTGCCTGGCTAACAATACAGAAGTTACAATGACGAGGTT